GACTGCAGTAGACCTTGTAGCAGTCTGCACTTTATTTCAAAGTTTTATTGTTCAGAGACTGTTCATACCGAATATTCTCCCCTTTGTAATTTAAAAAAGCAAGAACATCTGATTCAGTCTTTTTCTCTTTATATTTTACCATATAATACTAGACAAAAGAGATCACTGAAAGAGTTTCCCGTAATGGCACAGATAAAGTTTAAAAGCTGTAAAATTTCTCTTTGGAAAGATATTTGAAGAGGTCAGTCTCTGTACTAAGAATGGTGATGTTTGGATAGACAAAAAAGGAGTCTGCCATTTGGATTCAGACAGGCAGGTCATGGCTTTAACTGTCTGCTCACTGACAGGAAAAAAAAAATAGATATAAGATTTCATACTATTATTCTCCATTTACAGTTGCTGGATAAGTTAAAGACAGACTTACTCTTGCATTTATTCCCTACTTGAGGAAATATTGTACTTTTTCTTTTGAAAACTCAGCAATTTCAATAAACTAAAAATAATTTATTTGAGTGTGACTGTATTCTCTTCTGACTTGCTATTGTGTAAGTCCTTCTAAAATGGTCTTTATCGAGCCACAACAAAGATTCCTTTTTTCTTAAGGCAAAAGTACAGGAAGAAGATATTGTTTTCTCTCCTCCAGCAACTGAACAGCAGCACTGTTCAACTGAAATTGAAATGGAGAAATTTCGTTGTCTGAAATGGAGATTCAGACACCTACTCTTGCAACAGGCTGCACACTGAAGGCTCAGCCTGAAGAGAACCACTGGAATGCTGAGATAATTCCAAGACCTAAAGTGTTTGACATAACCTGAAATAGTGGAATATTTCTAAGCATTTTTTTAGGTATTATGTTAGTGATGGAGCTGCCATGACATTTTCATACTAGATATCCTATTTCAGCTTTTCACAATTTTCCACTAAAAATGACCTTTTAAGATAATTTTTTGTATGTGAATGAGAGTAGTACTTGAAGGTGCTAAACTGACAACACTTAAAATCTATTTAATGGATACAGCAATGTCAGTAGTGTCCGGCTCCCAGTAGTGTGCCAGCAATACCACATTTCTTCTGCCAAAAAGGCAGCTGAACATTTCAACACCCTTGGTTTTCTGCTGAGGCTGGCAAAGGCTTTGCAGAAATAAAGAGATCAGACATTCTGAATGTTTCTTTCATTTGGAGCATGAATTCTCCCTTCTTTTTCCCTTACTTTAAATAATCTGACTCTACTAGCATCTACAAAGGGGGAATTACCTTTTAATAGCCAGAAACTTCCAAAGAATGATGAACAAGAGATAAACTGGTAGTTCTACTTAATTTCTGTGCAGAAGTATGTTTTATTTACTTCTAATTACTACATTTGGAGGATTTGTTGGTAAGCCCTATCTTTGCAGTGTCCAGAAGGTTAGAGAAACAGTGAATAAATTTTAGGCACTTAACAATTCTTCTAATTTTATTGATGTGGGATTTTTTTCCTGTTGGGGAATGAGGGCAAAGTATGCAAGCTGACTACAGAAGATAACAAAGAGTGTGTGCATGTTATTTTCAGAAATTAAAGTGTGAATATTCCTTTGGAGAGGGAAAAAAGGAAAGGAGAAAAAAAATGGGACAAGAAAGAGTAAGAGAAGCACTAAGAGGGCTTGAGTCATGGGACAGAGTACAAAAGAGAAAAGGAGGAAGGAGTTGTTGAGGAATGTGGGGTGCTAATGAGGAGCAGGGGCAAGGCAGCCATTAATTAACTTCTGTTTGATCACCTATTCCTGCCAGAACTATGTATGTAGAGACTGGAATAATCCTAGTATTGTAGCCTATCCCAAAGGGCTGAACTGAAAGTCAGAGAGCCCATACATCCTTATTTAAAGGATTCATAAATTCCTCCACTGTTCTACAGGGTGCTCCTCTCCCATTGTCTGTGCTGAAAGCTCTCAGTCTTCTAAGCTGTCTGTGCTTCTCAGCCTGATCTTCTATTTATACCAAATTTGGAGGCAGTCCTTTTTACTGCTCTTTCCTGTTACATGTGATTTGGGCTGTCCTGACAATCACTGAGTATGGGACAAGAGCGGGGGCTTGTCCATTGGCAGGGAGGAGGTTCTGGAGAACCGGCTGCTGCACAAGTTATCATGGATCTGCAGAGTCTCAACGAAGGGATCTGAGCCATGCTACTTGTCTTTTAAGACTGAAACAGTGTGTGAAGGGAAATAGTAGGATAGGGATTGCCAGTGAAAAGAAAAAGAACAAAAACAGCCCGGGAATGAAAAGCTGACATACGCAACTCCTCATTGAACATGGAAACTGATCAGGAACTGGAAGAAAATACTAGAGTTCATGGGCCAATAGCATATTTAGGTAGAGCTGGCAAAACCAGATTGAGGAGAAGAATTCACTTTGCAGTCACACCTCCTACACAGCCAAAGAATTGAGGGAGGAAACAGGAGCACACAGTGTGAACACATCAGCTATGGATGTGATAAGACACTAAAAAACCCCCAGGAAATTCAAGTACAAAATTAAAACAGAATTAAAACAGAAAGGTAAGAACACTTACCTTTGGAATTTTCTGTCCTTCCAAAATACTTAAAATCAGAAACATAGAAAATTATTGTTGAAAGTATTTCAGCTGCATATACCACATTTCATATGTTGGTATATTTCATATACCAACCAGCCATCTCTGTGCTCTATTTAAAAACTTACATACCTCCAACAAGCTACCCATCTTTGCAATGCCAGAAGGAGTTTTGGCTCTGATACATGCAGTGCTGTGCTAAATGTAGTGCAGGCTCTGGCCACAGAATGTATACTTGCCAAACTTTATGTCCCCTCCATTCTTCCCCATGAAAGGGAAGATGTGTGCTAATGTATTTACAAACAATTGCTGGGGTGAAGGTATGGGTGTTAATGTCTTTGAAATGGGTCTTAATGTCTCGACTAACTTCAAGCAGCAGGTTTGTTAGAGACCTAGACAGCTTGGCTCCTGAAACAGACAAATGGGAATTTCTGAACTTTGGGCAGCAGGTTTGTTACAGAGCCCAGACTCCTGAAGCAGAAAAGCAGGTCTGCAGAAACCTGGACTTCTGAACTTTGGGGTAAAATGTCAGGTTCAAGGGGGGATATGTGGTAGGTGGTTGGGAAGGCTGTAACTTCATAGTGCCTCTGCCAATGGGGAAAGGAAGAGGGCAATGTGCGGCTGGGACCGGGAGTTTAGGGTAAAAGGAGCGCCCTCCAAACTCCCAAGAGAGAAAATGCTGCACTCTTGTGCTCCAGTGGACTCTCTCCCTTTATTCGAATAAAGTTGCAGGACTCCTCTGTCTCCTTTATGGACACTGGCTTTTCATAGCGTGATTTTCCGTTCAACCATAGCACGAGTTTGGCCCTACATTTATCCATCATTAAACACACATTTGCCATTTTTAAAGCTCTTACAATCCTGTTGGAAGCTTTCCTGTTTAGCACTATTCTCAATCCTCAAGCTCTTAAAGTGATATCTGTGTGCCTGAGCATCAGTTCTTTTAAAACTTTTGTGCAGGTGGCTCATTTTGGTGGGAGGCGATGGGAACTCTGGAAAAACCCTGTGTACGGAGGGGCCAGGGTCAGTCCTTGCAAGCAAGGGAGAGCTGGGACTCTTGCAAAAGCAACGGCCCAGCATTGCTCTCTTTGCGGTCCATCTCTCATTAGGTTTTGTGCTTTTGAGCTCCCAGACTCCTGTGATGAGGTCAAACAATAATCTCTGGGGTTTGTATTGTCACAGAATCCCAGAATGGTTTGGGGCTGAAGGGCACATTGAAGGTCACCTAGCTCCAACCGTGGGCTACACAACCTTCAATTAGACCAGGTTGCTCAGTGACCCATCCAACTTGGCCTTGAATATTTCTTCCCTTTTTTTTTTTCTCTTCCTTCACTATGCAATGGATTGCTGTTCTTCAAAAGTGCAAGAATGAGCTTGACAATGCAACAGAATCCACGAGAAACTCAGCTTTTTCAGCAGGGGTTAAATGAGAACAGCTTTTTAACACATTCTCGTTTCCACACGGGGAAATGGAAAAGTGCCGAAGAGGTTTTTGGAGCTGTTTTTTACAGGCAGCACCCCGAGTACGAGCGGTTCTGCGCCGAGACTTCGCCACCAGCGCCATTGCCGGCGGCCCCGCCAGGCCCCG